CGGACAGGAAACGATTTCATAAGAATGGAGAATTGAATGGTGCAGTAAAAATTAGACGACTCCACTCGAATCATGCTGGTGATTCTGAACCTCGAAGAGGTAACTATTTTCAGACCTAGTTATGGGTTTGCTTATTTTTAATCGTCATCTTCATAATTCTATCTTTTTTTCATATTTGTCCTCTTTACTTTTGTTATTTTGAGGTATGCTCATTTATTCTCATAACCCTTCCAATATACTAAAACTTTTAAGTATTGAAGAGCATCCCCACCCAAATACTCTTTTTGAGATAGGTGCTAATGGATCTCTATTTTAGCTTACACCGAAGTATCTGGTCGAATAGCTGGTGTCGAACTGGAGAATTTTATGTGCCATGGCCACTTGAAAGTAGATTTCGAGACGAACGAAAATAACTGTTTCTATATTGGCGGGCCGAATGGAAGTAAGTAGTATTTTTCAAACTTTTCCAAGGTCAAGTTTCGTTTCAACTCCGACTTTTACTCGTCTCAGGTGGTAAAAGCGCTCTTTTTGCGTCTTTAAATCTTGGACTTGGTGGTAGGGGAAATAATAACGATCGAGGGAATTCCGTCAAAAGTTACATCAAAGAAGGCAGAAAGTGAGTTTATATATTAGTCTCTGTTTTTTTTTTGTTATCGGTTTTCTCTATATTTTTTGTTGTGTTAATTCATCTGCTCATTTATCAGATCTAGTATGCAAATATATTATCTCGCTTTTATTATATTAATTTTTCATTGACTTGGGATACAGCTTCTAAAATCAGTGTGAAAATTCTGTCACTGAATCTACATACAGTAAAGCGATGATCCGTTTGATTCTGACCAATACTGGCCTTGGAAGTCATCCCGATTATGGTGATTTTGTGGTTGTGGAAAGAACTATCACCCCATCTGCATCTACCTATACACTCAAGAGCATCAAAGGCTTTGGAAAAAATAGACGTGGTGGGTGATATCAACTCCTTGACTTTTTCGATGTTACATGTGGATACAAACTTGCAGAAGTGGTGATTTCAAAAAAGAAAGCAGATTTGGACCAGTTACTTGTTCGTTATGGTATCCAGCTCAGTAACCCTATATTCTGGATGAGTCAAGACAGATCTAGGCATTTCTTACATCAAATGAAACCGGATAGATTATATCAGGTAAGCAATCCTTTCCTCGTTGTATATGGGGTTTATCCTTCTATCTTCAGATATTTATGTGTGCTACCGAATTAGAGCATACAAAGACTTGTTATGAACAATGTGAAGCGATCGTATCATCAATCGAATCCATGTGTCGCTCAATGAAGGACGAATTTGAGAAACAAAAAAGGTAAAGCAGATCTTCG